TGCTGCTCTGCGGAGACCCATGAGGTCACCCATTAGTGATTCATCGTGAATCAGGGTGGCGGCTGCCAGTTAGATCATTAAAACAAGCACTGCATTGACTTTGTGTGTGTGCATGCTCATACTGGGGCTTGAACTCAGGGTGCTGTTCTTGAGGGTTTTTTTTTGCTCAAGGCCACCACTCATTGGAGCCACCCTCCACTTCTGGCTTTTTTGCTGCTTAATTGGAGATAAGTCTCCAATCAGCACCCAGCTAGGAGTTTCAATTCCAGAAGCCAGGTGATGAGTACCATGCTTCTGAGTACCATGCATCTTGATCTCTGTCATCCCATCCATTGCATTGACTTAGTTTGTCCAGAGCTCGGTGCCAAAGGCTGAAGAAGGAAAAGCCAGACTACAGAAAGGCGGACGTGAGAGCTGCCCCACTCTGAGGATGTCTGGGCTGGAATGCAGGCTCTGCCACTTCCTCTGTCAACTATGCAGCTCCTCACGGAGAGGTGGTTTCTTTATCCACAAACTGGGATAACAGCAAGACCCCCCTCAGGACCAAAAGGACAAACAAAACTTAAGGCACTGGGTACTCTTTTCATTGTGTTGTTGCCTGTACTGGGGGTTGAACTCAGGGCCAAGATGCTGTCCTTTAGCTGTTTTTGCTCAAGGCTAGAGCTTATTCGCAGTCTAACCAGAGGTTTGGGATGGAGAGAACAGATGCACAGCATCAGACAGAAGAGGGAGAGCAGCTTGTCTTGAAGTTCCATGACACTCGCTCCAAGTCCTCATCAGGAAAACTGCCATGAAGTCCCTTTGCACCTGTCAATGCCTGGTGGTCTTCTCCTGGGGCTGGGGGTAGCCTGCACCTGCTGGCAGGGAAACCATGCTGTGTGCTCGCTCACAGGAGCCCTCGAAAGGCTCTTTGACTCAGGTTTTAGATCCCATTCTGCAATGTGGCTCCCATCCACCCTTAAATTCAGTGTACAAAGCAGATCTTAGACCAGAGCTCCTGGCTTTGGTCCCTCCCTCCTCCGTATCTGCTGGTCAGAGCAGTTAGAGGGTGCAGAGGATATATTCCCTGAAGTGGAATCCCAGAGTCATTAACTGTTACCCTTTATACTGTGTGTGTGTGTGTGTGCGCGTGCGTGTGTGCACATGTGCGTGCGTGCATGCATGCAAGCACGCGCGCGCACACACACATACAGGCATATATGTGCCCACCCAGTAGTAGAGCTTGAACTCAAGGCCTGACCATTGTCCCTTAGCTTTTTCATTCAAGGCCGGCGCTCTACCAGTTGAGCCACAGCTCCACTTCCAGCTTTTTCTTGGTTCATTGGAGATAAGAGTCTCATGGACTTTGTTCTGCCTGGGCTTGCTAACAGTGGTCATCAGCTCTCAGCCTCCCAAAGAGCTAGGATTATAGACATGGGCACCAGTGCCCAGCTTCCATTTCCCTTCTGTAGAGAGAGGCTTAAATGAGTTAGTGATGTCAGAATCTTTTTTTTTTTCCCTGTCAGTCCTGGGGCCTGAACTCTGGGCCTGGGTGCTGTCCCTCAGCTCTTCAGCTCAAGGCGAGCGCTCTACCACTTGAGCTTCAGCACCACTTCCGGTTTTCTGGTGGTTTATTGGAGATAAGGGTTTCACGGACTTTCCTGCCTGGGCTGGCTTTGAACCTCGATCCTCAGATCTCAGCCTCCTGAGTAGCTAGGATTACAGGCGCGAGCCACCGGCGCCCAGCTAATGTCAGAATCTTAACCTGGGTCTGGTACATATCTTTAGTGTTCAATAAACATGACTGAGACTCAGAGAGACTCCGTGACTTGACTTGAGCACTCAGCTCCTTCCCTGTGGCCCTCCTTTCCTCACATAAAGAAGGCCTTTTCTGTTTGCAGCTCTTCTGGGTCATGGCAGACAGTGGAGGCCCCCACAGGTTGTAGCTCTGCAGGAGTGACACAGGCCTCTGGAGCTACTCACTGCTGGGTGGGAGTCTCTGCCAGACAGAGGCCACAGGATGATGGATGTGGTGGGCTGAGGCCCTCAAAGGCCCTTCCGGGAGGCAGCCATGTTGAGGGAGGCTGAAGCGGACCCTGAGGAGGTCTCGGGGCACTGTTTATAAAGGTAAGAGGACAGACAGTGGAGAAGGATGGAAGGAAGTGGCACCTATGGAGGAGGTGTGTGAGACCCCAGACAAGATTTGGGGTGTTTGCTTGAAGAGCCTGACCCGAAGGTCCATGCACTTGTGATGTCTATCTGTCGTCTGTCTGTCTGTCTGTCTCTCTGTCTCTCTCTCTCTCTCTCTGACTCTGACTCTGCTGGTTCCAGGGCTTGAACTCAGCCTAGGTGCTATGCTTTAGCTTTTTTGCTCACCGCTAATGCTTTACCACTTGAGCCACAGCTACTTCTGGCTTTTTGCTGGTTAACTATATATAAAAGTCTGGTGGAATTTTCCTTGAGGTTAGGGTCCAACTGATCCTCAGATCTCCTGAGCAGCCTCCTGAGCAGCAGCTGGGATTACAGGCTGGACCACTGATGACCTCTCGAAGCACAGAGGCTGCCATTCACCTTGTGTTTGCAGAAGACCCTCACCCCCTGCAGAGTCCAAGTTTCCTGTGCTGGGACAAGACGCCTCTGCCTATTTGTCCCCCCTCCCCCCCCAGTGGGGACAGGCGAGAGGCCTCTCTGTAGCCCCAGCCAGCTGCCTCTTTCACCCCTCTGCCTCTTAGAATTACTCAGCCTTCGCGGCATCTGTCACTACGATGCTGAGTGCATTCCTGACGTGGCCTCTCTTCAGGAAAGGCCTGGACTGTGTGGCCTTTTAAGAAAGGCTCCATGCCCTGGTTAAATCTCCGATTGTGGTTCTGCATGAAGAAACCATAAATAAACCAAAGGAAAAGCAGTGGTTCAGCTTTGGTCTTAGAGCTTTGTGTCAGCATCTGTCTATATCCCTGGGGTTAAATTTAATACAGGCCAACAAGCAGGTTGGTAGGGAAGCTGCCCTTTCCCTCTGCTTTCTGTATAGATTAAGAATAGTGGGCCAGGCACTGGTGCCTCATGCCTAGAATCTATCTACTCAGGAAGCTGAGATCTGAGGAACGTGGTTTGAAGCCAGCCCTGGATAGAAAAATCCCTGAGACTCATCTCCCATTAACCACCAAAAAAGCTGGAAGTAGAGATGTGGCTCAAGTGGTAGCATGCCAGCATTGTGTGAAAAAGCTAAGCCAGGAGGGAGTAAGTTCTGTGAGTTCAAGCCCCAGTACTGGCACCAAACATAAATAAAAAGAATAGCAGGAGGCGCGGGGTTCAAGGAATAGCCTGTCCTTCTGGCTGTCTATTAAGAACTGGGCACTACACTGAATTTAGTCTCCGTGAACACATAGACAACTTTGGATGTGTGTCGTCATTGTCTTGTGAACCCCAACACAAGCTGTATAACTGAAACGCTCAAAGAAATCTGGTGCTTCCTCGAGGGTCAACTTCAGAGTAACACAAGTGTTTTGGGGCTAATTGCCGAAAAGACTCAGTCATTTTCTAAAACATTTTCAGTTGTCAAACCAGTGCCCAGGCCTAAAGGGGGGGGGGAGTGTCCAACTGGGGAGCTCCCAGAGGAGGTTCTCAAGAGAGAAACTTGAGTCAGACTGAGCCTGTTGCTCAGTGGCGCTGACTTAAACTTGACTGACGGCTGCATATGGTTTTTCTTCCTTCTTTGGTTTTCTCTCCTCTTCTTCACTCACAGGCAGTTCAAACAAAGGTGTAGTCTCTCCCGTACACTTCTTGCCCAGGGAGGGCTCTGGGGAGTTCCCAGAGCTGAGGGAGCTGTGGTGGGTGACCCCTACTTCCACCACTGTGCTTTCTCTTCCCTTCAGCCTCACCCCCAGGAAGAGCACTGAGAAACCTCTGTGGCACATTCTGTTTTTCTTCCCACCCCACCCCCCAAAGACAAGCATTTCCGGTATTTACTTGCCTGCTCATTGGGTTTGTTTAATGCCTGCCTGCCTCTCGGGACTCTGGGATGCTCTGATCCCCAGGGGAAGAAACCTGTGACTTGGGACCATCCTGTGAGTGGTTGTGTAGCGCCACCTCCTGGCCCGAGTGACTATCGCATCTCCACTGGCTCAGCCATTGCCAGAACCCATTCATCAGAAGTGAAAAGACCTTGGAAAAGATAGTGCAAAGTCCATTTTGGGTCGATCTTGTCATGCTCGTAGCTTTTTGTATCTGCTTGACTTCCTTGATGCCTCTTTGTCATACCTTCTATTAAAGTGGCTTTGAATTTCCAAAGCCCAAATTGGCAAGGTAGGACAAAAGCAGGCAGTGTAAAGGCCTCAGCCTAGGCCAGGGGGCAGGATGTGCATGTTCTACAAGCTTAATCCACCTGTTTTCTAATCAAGCTGGGGCTGCGGAGGGGAAGGAACGTTAAGAAGAGTGGTTGGAGCATGGGGCAGAGATACCGTGCACAAGTATGTGTGTTAGTTTGAGAGGGACTACTAAAGTGGATTCTATTCTGCTGCCACTGACCCAGCAGCTAGAAAAATTGCCACTGAACCATATTGCAGCTCCACCAACTTCTTAAGGGACTAGGTTAATAGCCCATCATCTAGAACAGGCAATCTTCCTGGAGACTGGCTATAGTCTGGGATTTCTGCCTTGATGAATTAATGCTGAAGGTACCCATAGTGTGCTGTAGCTAGACAGGTAAAACATCCAAGTTCTCTACCTGGCCCATCTTGGTGCCTTTCCAGTCCCTCCAATGGAATGAAGAACAAAACCTCTGCAGCACAGGACTCTTTGTTTCCTAAAGCAGAGAGTAAGAATTCCTGCTAATTCTAGTTTAAAGACAAAGTGTTGGAATAAACAGGCACGGTTCACTGTTGGCTGTATGCAGTTGTTCACTAGGCACATACTATGTGTCTGGGCAGGGCTCACAGGCCAGAGGGGATACAGGCACACAGTAGCTGTTGACAGAGAGACTAAGGTCCTTGTAGCTAATACTTTTGCCATTCATTTTTCTCTAGGCCTGGTCTCCAAGTCCTCTCCTAAGAAGCCTCGTGGGCGCAACATCTTCAAGGCCCTTTTCTGCTGTTTTCGCTCCCAGCATGTTGGCCAATCAAGCTCTTCCACTGAGCTCGCCGCGTACAAGGAGGAAGCCAACACCATCGCTAAGGTAGGTGGATGGGTTGTGCAGTGTTAGCTGGGAAGGGATTGTTAGTTGAGGATTCCTAGCTAGTAGGCATCGTGGCCCTGTCTGGAAGACTCCTGGTCCAGAGACCTTTCCTCCACCCTTCCCTCAGTAACCCATCCTGCGTCTATTGCTTCCCCTTCGCAGTATGGGCCAGCCAGGTATCCCAGTGGTTTCCTGGGCCCTGGCAAGGTGCCTTGCACCTTCCATCTCATATGATCCACTCAGCAGCGTCACGGGGAGACACAGGATTCTACTTCACAGATATGGAAACAGACACAGAGCATGCTTACTCTGTGAGAGTGTTAGGATTCAAACTCAAATCTCATTAGCTCAAAAGCTTGCATCTATACCAAGCTCCCTTCCTAGTTACCGTCCTCACAGGAATCAAGGAATTGAAACTCTGCCATGCTCTTAATAACCCTCCAGCACTTCTCAACCATACCAGTGTGAGGCATTTGGGAATGTTTGGGTATTTTGTTTATTATCACATGACCAGAGGTATGTCTAGCCTTTATAGGGGGATGGGAGTTAGGGGAGCCACCACCAACCAACAAGTGTCATTCTGCCAGGTACCAGTGGCTCACACCTATAATCCTAGCTACTTAGGAGGCAGAGATCTGAGGATTGCAGTTCAAAGCCAGCCTGGACAGGAAAATGCATGAGACTCTTATCTCCAATAAACCACTCAAAGAAGCCAGAACTAGCGCTGTGGATGAAGTAGCAGAGCACTTGTCTTGAACAAAAGGTCAAGGACAGTGTCCAGGCCCAGAGTTCAAGCCCCAAGACCACCAAAAATAAAAATAAAATAAAAAATCAATAGTTTCTCTCCAAAATAGTGAGGAATAGCTGTTCTTGCTCATTCTTAAAACCAGGCTGAAGCCAGGTGCTGGTGGCTTATGTCTGTAATCCTAGCTACTTAGGCTAAGATCTGAGGATACAGGTTCAAAGCCAGCCTTGGTTACAGATGTAAGAGATTCTTATCTCTGGCTAGCCAGTGAAAAAGCCAGAACTGGAGATGCAGCTCAAGTGGTAGAGCACCATTCTTTCTTTATTTTTTGGTCAGTTGTGGAACTTGAACTCAGGGCCTGAGCACTGTCCTTGAGCTCTTCTTGCTCAAGGCTAGCACTCTACACTTTGAACCACAGCACCACTTCCAGTTTTCTTTTCTTTTTTTTTTT